GCAGCTCCCTTGGCTCTGCGGGGAACTAGCGGACCTCCTGCTTCTAAAAAGAAAGGCCTACAAAGGATGGAGGATGGGATCCACCTCCAAGGGGGAATATCCTGCACTGGTCCGAACCTGCAGAGAGCAAACCAGGAAAGCCAAGGCTATGACTGAACTCCAACTGGCTACAAGTATCAAGAACTATAAATATCAAGGACAATAAAAAGTCCTTTTTTAGATATATGGGGAGCCGGAGGAAAAGCAAGGGCAACACTGGACCCCTGCTAAACTAGACGGGATAGCTGACAACCGATGGCCAGGAAAAAGCCAACTTGCTAAATGGGTATTTTGCGTCAGTCTTTCACCAGTCTCACGGGACACCCCTGCCCATTACGGGACGGGCCTGGGTGAGGATGATTCCTTACCCTCCGTCAATGCTGACCTCGTGAAGGAACACCTTGAGAGGCTGGATACCTTCAAGTCAGCCGGCCCCGACAGCTTACACCCCAGGGTACTCAAGGACCTGGCAAGCATCATAGCCCAGCCCCTGGCACAGATCTTCGAGAGCTCCTGGTGCTCTGGTGTATAGTGCCCGAAGACTGGAAAAAGGCCAATGTGGTGCCTATCTTCAAGAAAGGGAGAAAAGTGGATCCAGCAAACTACAGGCCCATCAGCCTGACCTCTATCCCAGGGAAGGTCTTAGAAAACATTATCAGAGACCATTCTCAAGAGACTGGCTGATGGCAACATCTTGAGGGATACCCAGCATGGGTTTGTTGCAGGTAGGTCTTGCTTGACCAATCCTATTTCCTTTTATGACCAGATGACCTATCACCTGGACAAGGGGGAAGAGATTGATGTCATATATCTTGACTTCAAAAAAGCCTTCGATCTGCTATCCCATGATCACCTTTTAGCAAAACTGGCCAACTGTGGCCTCGGCTTCACCACAATCCACTGGCTGGGGAATTGGCTTCATGGTCAGACCCAGAGGGTGGTGGTTGATGGAAGTCAATCATCATGGTGTGCCGTGACCAGTGGGGTCACCCAAGGCTCTGTCCTTGGTCCTATATTATTCACCATCTTCATTAATGATGTGGACATTGGTATCAGAACCGGACTGGCCAAGTTTGCCGATAACACTAAAAACTTTGGAGTAAAGCATCCACACCTGAGGACAGAAGGGTGATCCAGGCAGACCTTGACAGGCTCAGGAAATGGGCGGACGAAAACCGGATGGCGTTTAACACCAAAAAATGAAAGGTTCTCCACCTTGGGAAGAAAAACCTGCAGCGTGCTTATAGGCTCGGCAGTGCTATGCTGGCTACCACTACAGATGAAAGGGACCGATTGACCACAAGATGAATATGAGCCTTCAGTGTGCTGCTGCGGCTAGTAAAGCAAGCTTGCATCCATAGATGCTTCTCAAGCAAATCCCGGGACATCATTCTCCCGTTGTACTCGGCCTTGGTGAGGCCGCAGCTGGAGTACTACATCCAGATTTGGGCTCCACAGTTCAAAAAGGATGTGCAGAAGCTTGAGAGGGTGCAGAGGAGAGTCACGCGCATGATCAGAGGTCAGGAAAACAGACCTTATGAAGAGAGGCTGAGAGCTATGGGACTTTTCAGCCTGGAAAAGCGCAGGCTCAGGGGTGATCTGGTAGCCACCTATAAGTTTATCAGGGTGCTCATCAGGATCTGGGGGAACATCTGTTCACCAGGGCGCCACAAGGGAGGACAAGATCCAACAGTCACAAACTCCTGCAAAACCGTTTCAGACTGGACATAAGGAAGAATTTCTTTACTGTCCGAGCCCCCAAGGTTTGGAATAGCCTGCCACCGGAGGTGGTTCAAGCACCTACTTTGAATGCCTTCAAGAGACATTTGGATGCTTATCTTGCTGGGATCCTATGACCTCAGCTGACGTCCTGACCCTGGGGCAGGGGGCTGGACTCGATGATCTTCCGCGGTCCCTTCCAGCCCGAATGTCTATGAATCTATGTCAATGCGCACTGCATCTAGGACAGGATGACTGGACAGCATTGATGGATAAAATTTTGGTCATTAGTCTTAAGGAACACAATTCTGACTATGGCCAAAATCAGAAGCAGAAAATCTACATTGTTACACACATTCTCAGCACCTTGACGATAAACATCAGAGAACATGTAGCACTATCATGCACTTGAAACATCTAAATTTGCTTTTCTGTTAGTCATCCATTATGTAAATGGTGACCTAGGGGGAAATCAGGATGCACTATGAAATCACAGCTCCACTGAAGTAAGTGGCAGTTGTCCCACTGACTTCCAACAGGATCAGGATTCAACCCCACTCTCTACCACATGCGTTTAGCATGTCCAATGTGACAAGCAGCTTCTCCCAGTGTCACTATGTTGGACACCACTGCCAAGGTAGCTGCCCCTGCCACAGCTGCGGTGGCTGCAGCCACCTACGTAGCTGCCACTGCCACTGCCCCATGCCCTGTGCCAATTCCAGCCTGGGAAAATCTCCTACAGCCTGGATCTGGCCAGTGTGATTTTGACAGCCCTGAGATAAACCATAAATCTTGAACGTTGTATGAAGAGGCGAAACCTGACTATTCATATCATTTGGCAACATGAAACATTGAGATAACAGAGTCCCTAGAGACTTAGAGACATTGTGGAAACCCATCTGAAATTTGGAAAGCATGGCGAAATTTGCTGATATTAATACGTCAGCCCTGGGATAGACACCTTGAAGGCACAGACACATTTCTAACCTTTGATGAGACATTGGGTTTTTATTATTATTAAAGTTTTGGCGCAGATCAGACCCTAAAACTGAAACTGGACAATGATTTGGCCATCGTTGCTATTCATACAAATGCTCTAGATTTTTACATAGACTTTCATCTGAAGATCTCAAAGACCTTAGCAGATTTAAATGAAATCAGCCTCAATAACACAGCTCTTTCCC